GTCACGTAGACTTCCGCTATCGTAACAATATTCTCTTGTTTTAGCCAGCTCATCCCTTTTTTTCTTTTGTTAGATGACGTACTCTTCCCGCAAGGATATATCAGTGATATATCTTGAGCCTTGGTTGAACTAGTTAAAACTGAAATATTATCCTTGCTGGCCTAACTATGACCTTACCTCAAATTGATAGCTGGCTAATGCTGTCAGGACACAGAGGTCATGAAGTTTCGCCATCTACAGGACAAAAAAAGAAAGATGATATTCAAGTCCAAGCTCATTTTCTTTGTTCAGGTCTACTTCATTTTCATCGTGACGGAAAGCTGGCGAGATATTCATTGAGCCGGTAGAGGGGATCGTCCACTTGTCTAAACAGGTACGCACCCTATTTTTTATGTTGTGTCAAAGATAAAGATTAATAATAGGTAGGCAAACAACGATTTATAAGCATAAGGAAAAGTTTTATGGATGGTGGAACACACTACATGAAGAAAACAGACCAATGTTCTGTCGAAACCATTAATAAAACTTTTTCTTATGCTTACAAATCGTTGTTTGCCTACCTTTTATTATATTAAACTCAAGCTAAATAAATATTATTTTCACGGTCATTTAAGTTTGCCGAATCTGTTTATTTCTCATACAACTTACAATTCAGCCAAGTTATCAACTGTAGAACACTTCCCTTATTTCTTGCTCGAATCTATTGTTATTTGCGGGTTTTCCTGTCTGATACTTGTTAGCAAATCGATGTTACCTAAAAATACCACATATTTACCTTGGAAATTTATTTAAACTTAGCCTGATATATCTCCCATGGTACACTTTCATCATAATCTGTTAGCTTCTTGATTTGGTAGATGTAAATGACTTGACCTGCAAAATTTCAAAGCTTGGTGAATTAGTGCTGTAGGAAAAGTAGTCAACGAATGTCCTTCAGCTATAAATAGCAAAGTAGTGGTGGTAACAGGTGTAGATCAAGTTGTTTCTTTTATTCCATATTGCATAGTTAAAGTTATCTAAGGTTGTAATTATTGAGCAGATCCAAATAGAGAGAGGTGTGGTTGATTTCATCCTTCGATTTGCTTTTATAACCCCTCTATATTTCATTGGTGTTTTTTTATACTTCTTCAGTTTTGTTGTTATAATCCTTCCTTAAATCTCCTATGGCTTTCTGGATCTTATCGCTGATCAATATGACTTGTGTTTGTATTTCTTCTGTAAATCTAACGACTCGTTCTTGTAATTCTGCTCCTAAGTTCCTGTTATCTCTTTCTTTTTTAGTTTTCTTTCTTTCTTCTTGGTGTTCATTCCAATGTTTTGAATCTCACTTCATGCACGCAAAATTATTGAACATACATTTGAATTTTGCAATAAAACGATACTTACATATTAACACAAGAAACTACTGTGTCAAAATCTTGTCACTTTTTCATCACTTATGTTCTCAAATTATCAGTTTTCTTTGGACATATACTGTATAAACATTACTTTTAATCAATTATCAGGAAGAAGTGCGTGAAATGCAATTGGTCAGTCCAAAGCATTTGTAATAAACGTCCATTATTTAAAGTGTTTCAAAATATAGATACTCGGTAAACTCAATCTACTCTACATTACGTACTGCAGGTACGCTGCATATGCATTTACAGTTTAAACAGTTACAGACTGTGCAATATTTTAGTCCTGGATACTGTATACACAAGCAGCATGTTATGTGTATATGTACATATACATGCATATGTAGCTGTTGCAGACAGCAGTACAAAAAGTAACACTTGAAAACAGTACATGATTTTTAATATTAACAAAGTTGACGTGTGCTGGTGACTTTTCAGTGTCAATCTTGTAGTTATAAGTATATCCCACGAGTTTCTTTTTCGTGTGGATTGTTTTATTTAAACAATGTTCATTTCAATTATACAGTTGAATATAAGCCTTCACTTACACATGGACATTGGAAAATAATATGCGATTTAATATTTTTGAGCCTTTTTTTCATGTTATTTCAATGTAACAGTTATTTATGATAATTAATTTGAAGTCGCAGCTATTTAAGTTTTAAAAATGGTATTTCTTAAATTCTATGATAAACATCATTTATTAAAGCTATATATATATATATATTCATAAGTACAATTAAAATTAATTTTAATTTATTTTTCGGCAGTATTGCTTTTAATAATCCAGATGTTTGATTAGGAATCGTTCATAAAGTTTTATTTTAATATCCGAAAAATGAACAAATTTGTTTTGTCTTTCAAGGTATAAATATTATGACACTAGAGCCGTAGTAATAATAAATTTTATTATCCCATATTTCATATTTTGAGAAGCTACAGTGTGATATAACAGGCTACACCGAGTATATTATCATTTCATAAAATCTTAGTATTACTTATAGAATACCACTAAGTCCTCTGAGAACTAAAGACATTTTGATTCTCACGTTCTTGTCATTTAAAGATTATTTAAACTCCTGATACAGAATAACCATGCCTGACACATTTTCGCCAAAGAACGAATTCTCCAGTAAATGCAAAGAGAGACGTCATAAGACCACACAGCCACAACAGAAACGCGCCGCTCAAATCGTCAGTGTTGAGAGCTCCGACATCTTTGGCAGTATTGGTTTGACATTTTGTACCGTTGATGGTCATATCTTCTATCCAACGAGTTAATAGGTGGCTTTGCGTGAAGCTGTCGATACTGATAAAGAACACGGTAATATTAGAGTTAAGCACTGAAATCAAATAAATAAATAATAAACGGATCTATTTAAATTATGCCAAAGTGCGTTTAAAAGATCTAAAATGAATATAACAACATCCTTAGAAATGAAAGAATGGAACTGTATTCATTTTCTCTGTTTTTGTTACATGTGAATCAATTGAATAGAAATATTTCAAGATCTAACGACAATTACTACAATAAAGAAACGCGTGACGATTTTTTGAAATCGTATATATATATATCGGAAATAATTTCTGCCCTTAAGTGGAGACCTTTGATATAAGCAAGTACGAAACTCAGTTTATCTTCTATTAAATTATCTATTTAAAAGCGATCTTAATGACAGGCTTAAAACTGTTTTAAACCGGCTTAAATTGAAAGCAGACCTTTCAGCTATAATAAAACACCGAATTGTCTGAACGATATATCATCTTTTTAAATGGATAGAAGTAAGAATCGATTCTGATGACTACAAAAGTAATAAACAATTATTTTTTTGTGCTGCATGATGAACCTGTAACATGTCAAAAAAGTTATTTATAATTTAAAATATTGAGTTACTTCGTCCTTATTCCTTCCATTATTGTTGCTTCCAAGTCTTTCCTCATTATCATCACTAAGAAAGTCTCATGGAACTTTTTCGTAGACACGTGGAACTGACAGGACTTTCCAGTGAGAAACCTCCTATTGAGAATACCCTTGATCGTTACTGTGTCTATAATTATGGCATGTGTGCCAGCGTCTACCATGTCCAGAACTTCATCTTTTTCTAGCTCTTGGAAAGGCAGTCGGGAATCAGGTTTTTCTTTGATTCTAGACCAGATCTCCCGATAAGTTTCATGTGGGCTAGTCTGAAAAAATATCTTTAAGTATAGATCAAATGCTTTGTGTCGTTTACAAATAGTTAAATGGTTTATAATAAGGTAAATATTTCGGAAATCAGAAACTGGTTATGCCTTTATTCTTATTTGCATAAGGGAGTTCGTGAAACATAATTCTTAGAAATAAAAGCAGGAAAAGCATGTAAAAAAATTATTCTAATAGGTAGGAGATAAAATAACAAAATTCTTAGATTTCGATCATGACGTTCAATGTTTCAAGAAATTCTTGTGAGTTTGTCTATTTTTTTTATAAAAGAAAAGAATGTAAAACTGTATTGCAAGAGTTAAAAAAAACAGGTTACGATGCTATCGTTTATCTTGCTTCTTTAGAAGTGGGAAGTAGAGAAGATAACATTCTAATAATAATAAAAGAACACAATATCGTGTATAGAAAATAGTGAAAAACCACAGTAAAAGGAACAAACTGTCGGAAGTCTGATATTAGAGGAACTAGTTTAGATACATTCGTGTGTCCTCTTCAATTTCACCTTGTCTGTCTTCTGTGTCGAAACTAGTTTCTCTAATATCAGACTTCCGACAGTTTGTTCCGTT